CACAACACAGTCAGACGGGGATTCGAGTACAGATCGCCTTCAATTCTACCCGGTAGCGTCATTAAATCTACCCGATAGCGTCAGGTGAAATTCGTATGGCCAAATACAGGTTAGAATCGATCCTGCCACAAAGGGCGCTTATGTAAATAATACCGGGGTTCAGACCGGATTCCACGGGTTTTTGAACCGGGCGAACTGATTTTTAACAAGGGGTCGGTGTGTAGCGTCAGCGGAACCACCGAGCCCCTTCCCCCCTCCCCCCGGTAGGGGTAGGGGTAGGATGGAACGAATTTGAGTATAGAAATCATCTGGAATTTCTACCCGGTAGCGTCGCTATTTCTACCCGGTAGCGTCATTGATTCTACCCGGTAGCGTCGCTATTTCTACCCGGTAGCGTCATTCATACCGCCGGAGCCGGCGGCAGGATATGACCTTCTACGATGCGGAGTTCCCCAGCCTTCTCTAACTGCCGGATTACCGTGAGCCCCTTCTGTTTCAATCTCCAATGCTGGCTGTGTTGAGAAGTCGGGAAGCATAGTGCTATCAGTTCATCGTCTGTTAGTGCCGGATATCTTTTGGCGTCGTTCACCTGCGCCCAGAATTGCCGTTTGCCGCGCCCGACTGGAAAGTGCGTACGCCCTGGTTCAAACCACCGGTAAGCAAGATTTAACAAGGCTCGATATGCTGCGGCCGACTGAACACCCCATTGCCTCAGGTTGTCGCTGACCTGCGGTCCGTTTCCTGAGCCTGCCGGCAGGTCAACGATGATGCGGATCGAATCGTCCAGTTTGTTGGGTCCACGCGGAATACCGCTGATGCTGACTATCCGGCGCATTTCGCCTTGGCCGGTATCCGGGTTATAAAGGGGCACCCTGGCCGCCGGGGATTCCAGAGCGTCGAAGGCTGCCATCAGCCTGGGCCAATATTCGTTTGGCCGCGGCTTCCTTTTCCCCGGGTATATCCAATCCAGCATCTGACGCAGCGTAACCTTCATCGCGACGGGTGAGTCTACGTCTCGGGAATCCATCGGAACGGCCAATACGGATTCTACGAATAGTCGCAACGCAAGTGGGGCAGCGGGGACCACGGCTGATGGCAGGAGCGTCACCCCAGGTCATACAGGGCAAGCGGTAGGCAGGGGCCAATAGTTTCAGGGTTTTGAAATCCCGGCAGAATGGATTGACGCTCTGTTGCGTTTCCTGTGGACGTGCCCAGTTGCTGGAATCCCGCGAAGGACAACTGGCCGGCTTCGATGTCTGGAGAAACATGTGCTGCGGTTGTGAACAGTTTCCCGGCGCGGCGGTCTCCAGGCGCCACTTGGGCTATTTTCGCTGGGATGATGCGGCCCTTCTCGCGCGTGCTGGGCTCCACAGGCTGCGGTCGCTTGAGCCAAGCCAGGTACAGAATGTCCAGGGGGAAACCTCCCTTAGGCCGTTCCGTTTCAGGCGTCTCATTCCAGAGCGTAATCAACTCCCTGATCGGTATTTCAATCGACGATTGCGCCGATAACTGCGATAGGGCGTTTGACAACGGCCCGTCCTTGGGCAGCGGGAAATGGTGGCCAATGTGAGTGACCACGACGGAATCGCTGGAAGCCTCCAGAAATATGTCCGTGGCTATCCCGGGTGCGCGTGTCGAGAACAGGACCTCCCGGTTGAAATAGTCAGTCAGTATGTTGTCAATTTCCAGACGCCAGCTTTCAGAATTTGTCAGTGTCCTGAGCGGCTCCTTCCAATTGCGGCATTAGATCGCCGGCCATCTGGCTACCGTGCCTGTGGACATCATGATGAGTTGCCAGACGCTCGCTGCCGCTGACCGCAAGGTGTCCTGCGGACACTCGCCAGACGCCAGCCAATCGGCCAGATCGACCAGTGTTACTGGGTCCTTCTGGTGGCTGTCTGCCAGGCTCTCCAGAACGTCTCCGCCCTGAAAGGGACTGACCCAGGACCTGATTCAGAAATTGCCACGATAAACCCCCTTGCCGTTGGCGGGTGCGGTGACTTCTTCCCGTTCCTCAGCGATAGCAGTGTCCCATGTACCGCGAACAGCCCAACGAGGGCCTGTGGAGTCCCATTCCAGGCACAGCGATGGCGGCTCGGGCCCGTAATTAGATTTCACCATCGCCAACTTCCAGTCGGTTGGATCTTGCCTACTCCCCCTTGACGGGCTGTGTAGGTGGTCCTTGCCCATTTCCCACCTGGCGCGAGCTGCGGAATGCCAATCGGTCGAACCGGAGTACCCGGCTGAGCTTTTGGGCGGGTGACCAATGATCAAAACGGTGCAGTTGCAAGCAGCAGCCCACGCATCCCACGAAGCCATGAAATCACGCACTTGTCCCCGGTCATTCTCGTTGGCTCCGTATACGGCGGCCAGCGAATCGAGGATCAGGAGACCGATGGCCTCCGATTCTGCCACCTGTCGGAGTGCGTGCCCCAACCTGGTCCACGTCGGCACATTGTAGCGTCCAGGAGCGTTCCACAGTGGGCCATGCCCGGCCAGGTCCAACATTCTCAAGTTGTCCAACGTGCCGGGGGTACACCAAGATGCCGCGTCGCCGCTGATTTGCGACAGGCGTCGTGCCATTTCATCAGCCCGGTCTTCCCAGGTCGCATACAGCACCGGCAACCCTCCGTTCGGCACACCATTTCCTAAGCGAGGCGTATCCTTACCGGCAATCCAAAGTGCGCTGCTGTCCGTGTCGTCAATGGGTCGGTTGGCCGCTATGCCAGCGGCTAATTGGAGGGCGAGGCGAGACTTGCCCGCTCCGCCTTCACCGGTAAGCAGTGCCACACTGCCAACCGGCAACCACTGGTCAATCAGCCAGGACCTGGGTTCTGGTTCGCCGACCATTGCCCAAGTGAACGGCTGTAGATTAGGACCCGGCTCTCGCAGTCGATCGACTGCGTTGGCCAGTGCGTCGGCGACGCTGCCGCGTTCCTCCGGATAAGTTTCAACCCAAGCCTCAGCCTGCCGGATCAAGTCGGCGGGCGTATTCTCAACGAGGTTCCCTTCCAGCATGGTTAAGCTCCTGCGGTTGCAATCTGCGCAATCCTGGCGATTTCCCAACGGGGCCAACCCGTCGTCTGAGCGAGTGTCAGGGCGTAATCGATCCAGTCCTGTCCCAACGGTTTGAAATCGGAAACGGCTGCAGCTTCGGCGACGTCTTTGTAACCTGCCGGCGGATAGATTGCCGTTGCATCTCCTCCGGCGTTCAGGATGGCACTGCGCAGGAATCCGGCCGCAGACGTTCCGGCGGGCGATTTGCCGTTCTTGGGCGTGTCAGCGTCGGCGTGAATGACGACCCCTCGTGATGCCGCTGCGAGCCACTCGATAATGGCCGGATTGCGCATCCCCGCGGTTCCCGCTGTTGCGACCACGGGGACATCGTAACGAGCAGCCACGGCCAGAGCGTCTGCCAGGCCCTCGGTAACTCGAATGGGAGCACTGGCATTGGGGAGCATGGGATTGCCCACCATCACGACAGTTCCGTGGGCGTTGCCGATTGTACGCTTCCCCAGTCCCCCCTCTTCGCTGGGTTTATCCAGAGCGGGATTGCCGGCGCCGTCGACCGCAACCAGTTGAACCGCCGTGGGTTCCGGGAGGCCCGGCCAGGCGTCGCACCAAGCTGCTGGTGGGGCCAGCAACGCCAAGATGGAACCGGCACCCGTGTGACGGCTATCTGCTGCCCGCCACCGCAATAACGGCGGAGTGGGCATCTCTGGACGCCACAGTAAGCGGTTCGTGAACCAACGCCGGGCCGGATGACTCTCGTCACGTGGTATTGCGGAACCGGAAGCCCAGATTGAACGGGCGAGGTTGGCACGCTTGATGGGTGCTTGGCTATCAGCCCGCACAGCATCGGATTTGCGCGGTGTGGGGGAAGGCAGACGTTCTGACAGGTAGCTGCCCTGCCGTAACCAGTCCAGGGCGCCGCTACGGTCAGTGCCGAGGAGATACTCGGCCAGACTTACCGCACCTCGCCCTCCCTGCCCTGATTCCCAATCCTTCCACCGCCCTTCAGCAGCGCCGTCGGTGTCCAACTGGAAACTGCCGCGTCGGCCCCAACGCAACTCACGGCGATTCGATAGCTGCGCATTGGGCTCACCCTTCAACTGCCGGGCGACGGCCTCGGTGATGGCCTTCCAGTCCGGCGGAGTTGACGATCTATCGGTTGTCATTGGCCGATTCCCCGTGCTGCCCGGTATCGCTTCATAAGCATAGTGCGGGATGTGCAACTGGATGCCATCCTGCTCGATGCTGTCCAACCACGCCACCAACGCGGCTCTTCCCAAGGTTGCGGGGCGAATGTTCAAACCGGTGGCCACGGCGTCCAATCGAGCCGTCAGTTCCGGCGTCATGCGAATTTGCAGGGTCCGACCTGACATCATGCGACCTCCTGTGCCGCTTGCCGCGAGTTGGTCGAGGTTTCATCTGTCTCCACCCAAAGGCGAGAGGCGACAGCATTCTGCGGCACGCGGTGACACTCCATCGGCGGCGTGGCAATGTTCGACAGGGCAAATGTAATACGTAGTAATACGCCCGTCAACAAAGAACCTTGGCGTGTCAGAACGTCTCGTCCGTCAATTGCGGACGCACAGGGGGTTCCGCTCGCTGACTCAAGGAACGCTTTAACGTTAAAGCGTTGAAACGTTTCGTCAGCTGGAAATGGTTTATCTGTAAACTGGGTAAGTGCTAACACGAAATGTCATGCTTTAATTAAAGCGCTAATTCAATTACTCAGTGAAACGTTATTTAGTGCTAGTTCTATAATACTTAGTGCGGTAAGAAATTCATCGATTACAGGATGCATCCCCGAAGGGTTACAGGGTCAAATTGTGGCAGCGTCAAAACGTCAAACAGATGCAGTGTTTTCACGATTTATCAGGGAAAGCATCATGTGATTAGTGGATTCAGCCAAATATGCATTCGGTCGCAGTGCGGTGGTGAGCGTAGGTCTGCTAACGTAGTCAGCGCGGGCAGAACGTTGAGGAGCTGGCATCATGGCTAAGATCGTAGCTTTCGCTTCCTACAAGGGAGGCACCGGGAAAACCACACTCGCATACAACATGGTGGAGCGTGCCGGAGCGGCCGGGTTGCGGGCATGTCTGTGCGACTACGACCCTCAGCACGTGGCCGCCGGGTTCGAGAGGGTGCGACGCGACCAGATGAGCTGTGGGCGGCTGTCCCCGGACACCCCGGCGCTGGACGTCATGGCTGCGGACCTGGGGCCGGATATGCTGGAGCGCTTGGACGCGCTGCGCAACAGCCCTTATAAGCTGGTGATATGCGATCTACCGGGAGCGGCGAACTTCAATTCCACCCGGTTCCTGGACAGTGTGGACCTGATATTGGCGCCCATCACGGCCGGGCCCGGCGGACCTGTTGGTGGCGGACGAATTCGTCTGGCACATGAAACGGGTCCAGTTGGAGCCGGTCTTCGTTCCCAGCCTGGCTCCGGTGATCAATCGGCGGCGGGAAATGATGCTGAAAGCAGTGGCGGAACGGGGTTTGCCGGTGTGTGACGCGGTTATCGTCAACCGGGTCGCACACCACGATGCCATGGAGGTTGGGCAGGGAGTATGCGAGTTCGCCCCCGATTCGCCGGCGGCCCAGGAAATCAACCATCTTTGGATGTGGCTGGCGCATAGACTACGATTGCCGGCGACTAAGGAGGAGATTGATGAGTGATGACGAGAGGGGTGTCCAGACGGAACCGCAAGCCAACCGCGTATCAGGCGTCGTTGATTCTCAAGATGAGACGTCCGTAGCCCCTGATTCCCTCTCGGAACTGCCGCCTTCCGCGCGCAATCTACGGCGGCTCGAGGATTGGGACGGAAGCTCAGTGCCTCCCAGCGACGAAGCGGCTGTCGAGGCTCTTATCGCCGAGGCCCAGCGCCTGGGTCTGGAGGTGAGGAAACCCCAGAAGGGCAACCGGCGCGGTAAATTCACGCGTGTATCGGGCAAGGAAGAGCGTTAT